TTCATCGAAAATCGTCTTTCTTTCTGTCACCGGCAGAATACAAATTGTTAGATGCATACCATACTACTCAGAAGATGAACTAGATGCCGGACAAAGATAATTTTTTAAAAATAAATCTCTGAATTATCCCTTTAACAAAGCTAATTTTCCTTATGCTATTAAGAGAACAATATAACCAAACAATATAAAAATAGAAAGGCTAAAAATCTCCAAATCACAGCTGCCTGAATCTTTTTTTGTTTTGTTTTAGTTACTAAATTCCACCATATTTCCCTTGCTCCCAACCAGAGTGAATTCATGTAAAGTTAATGAAGATTAAGCTTCAAGACCCATACTTGCCCCAGCCCTGAGAGTACTGGAAGTTGCTGGGAGCTATAGATTATCATAAGTAGGGAAGGGAAGCCAGCAACTCTCTAACAATTAAGGAGTATTTCCATATAAGTACTTCTGAGAAAAACTTAAAAAAGTCTCAAAAGAAAGGATCTAAATCTCCAATCCTCCATTAATTCGTCATGATTTACTTTCTTAATCTAAATAAATATCCACTTTGGGGCCTAATTTTAAATAGGTTCCTCTCACCCAAATTGTATAAGCTCTAGACCTCACATAAACCAGATCTGCCTCCACTGACAGTGAATGGAAGACAACCCACAGAGCATTATTGACCAATTGTGTGTGAAAAGCACTAATTCTAGTGAAAAACCTTCCCTGTACCCATCTTCCACTTGTTTCCCCGTGTTGTCTCCCACCCACTCACACATCCCACACTCGTGCTCATCAATTCTCTGTCACAATCACCCAACGTCCTTCTAGTTTTTCCACCCACCATCTCTTAAAGCTTTGCTAATACCGTTTCCTATCAACCCTTTCTTTCCTGCTCTCCCAGGGAAACACTAACATTTCTGACAGCATCTCCATGGGGACGAAGAGGAGGAGTTGCAAGAAAGAACAGGACTGGAAAAGCAGAAGTCATTGAGCCATAGCTATAGCAGATGTTCTCAAAGTGGCTGGGGGTGGTGGCATTGACAGGGGATCTAAGGTAAGTGAAGGTTTAGACTAGTAAGCATTAACTCCAAAAACCTGAAGGATTTCATAAATTGTGGTGCACATCGAGTGTGACTACTAAAGCTAGAAACAATAAGATTCCATCAACCTAAAAGGTCCCATGATGGGCAAGAGAGTGTACCAGAATATTAAAAAAAAAAAAAAAATGCACACTGTGGTTATGACTACATAGGGCAAATGAGTGCTTATGGAAATGATATGCAAAAGCGAGAATAGTTATATAACAAATAATGGGATTATAAGTGACATAACTTTTTCTTAAAATTCCTCTAATGTTACTATGTTTTCAATTTTTTTATAGGAAATTTTCCCATACCAGGGATAGACATTTAGGTTGTTCTCAGGCCTTTGTCTTATATATCCATTTAAACTCAGTTCTATTTCATGCCATGTAACTGCCCAAATGGGACTGAGGCAATGTGGAATACAGAAAGAGTGTGTCCTTTTGAGAGGTGACCTGCTGGTATTAAGACCTAACCAAAAGCTCCTATTTCCAAGTTATCAATGAAAGATATGACGAGGATAAGAACTTTAGTGAAGAGTTGAAGACAACCATATACAATATGAAAAACCACCCCAGGGAATGCTGAATCACACCTGGCCTTCAGCCCATATTTGAAAGCCACTGCTCTAGAAGATGATGACAATACAATCAATTATTTTGGTTCTTAAAGCTAGCGATGGATATGTATACACACACACACACACACACACACACACACACACACACACGTGCATATGTGTATAAACATAGATGTATAATACACATATACATACATATTCAGCAGAGTGATATAGATCATCAAACACAGAAAATTGGAAAGATGATCATCCCAGTTTATTTTATTGATCAGGCACTCTTTTAAGATCAAAATGGATAGAAAGGGGGAAAAATAAGTTTTACTAGAGCCACAATGCCTTTGAGTTATAAATAGAAAACATATTCATTTGTTGATATATCATCTAATACTCTGTATAGGACATGCCATGAGGTGGGATAAAGTTGTTCATAACCAGAAAAGACATGTTCTTGGCCACAGTAAGTCAGAGGTAACTGAGTTAGAGATGGTGCTCCAAGGAAGGGCAGCTCATCCACACACCATGGGAAGCTAGAGTTCGGCCAGACAACAGATATGAACTGATTCGGGAATTAATAAAAGATGGCATGCAGTGGCCTTTGCTCAGTATCTCTTCAGCTGGAATTAGCAAGTTCTCCCCACTGAGGAGGAAGTGCAGAAAAAGACCTCAATTCTAAGATTTGCAAATCTGAATATTTGGGATACAGTTTGCTAATCCATTTTTTGTCACTACTATCTGGCTTTTTCCATCTTAAGAACCGGCTTAGAAAACTGCAGATCTTGGTTTCTTTTCCATCAGTCCAAACATGCACTCCCAACAATTTCAAGTTACTACAAGCCATCACTGAATACAAACTTTGGAAGAGACGCTCAGTAGCACACCATTATATAGTGTTTCTGTGAAACAAACATGATAGGCATAAATAACTTTAAGGAGAATAGGTAACAGTAAAACATAATAAAATAATTAGGAAGTGAAGATTATTACCTTTGTTTTTAACATGACTACTTTATTTCAAGTTTATATAATTTTTAACAATGGCTATATTTAACAACGGACTCATGAAATTCCTGAAAATTTAACAATCAGCAACCTCAAACGAGTAGGAGCAAGTTTCAGCTTATCAAACCCACTTAATCATAACTTCTGGGGATGCCTAGGTGGCTTAGTCTCTTGAGTGTTATGCTCACGTCATGACCTCAGGGTTGCGAGATCAAGTCCTGTGTTGGCTCTGGCCTTAGCAGGGAATCTGCTTGAGATTCTCTCTCTCCCTCTCCTTACACCCTCCCTCTATCCCCCACCCCTTGCATGTTTTCTCTGTCTCTCTAAAATAAAAATAAATAAACCTTTAAAAAAAGAAGGAGAAAAAAAACCAGACCTCTGGAGGTGGGGGTATTGATGTTTTATAAAAAGGTCTCCAGATGATTCTAATATGGCAGCCAGGATTGAAAGACCAGTGGTCTATGCTAAAACCTGATGGGGCTGATGTCCAGGTTTCTTGGAATACGGGAAAAAGAATTTATTGCCTAAGAGCAATTGGATATTCCAAAGGGGAAAACTGGGAATAAGGGAGGGAAACTGAGCATTCCATGGGAAAAGAATGATAAAGACGGAGGATATCTTGGAGTAGGGAGAGGGAACTCAGATAAAACCAGGGTAACTAACCATCGTGTTTTGCCTGGGACTGAGAGGTGTCCTGGATATAAGGTTTTCAGTGCTACAACCAGAAAAGTCATGGGCACATGAATGGAGACACTGGATTTTTCATTTTAATTAATTTTCATTAATGTAAATTTAAATAGCTATGTGAGACTAGGGGCTACTATACTGGACAGCACAAGAAGATGGCTTCTTTGCATATATACATTTCCTCTTCTGTTTGCCAGTATGGAAAAAATTATGAAGCATATTAAAGAAATATGTGAGAGTAGTAACTCAGATCCTAAAGTTAAATATTTGCTATCAAGCCCACGTACAAATATGAACACATGATAAAAATTATTCAGAAATATGCAACAAACTTGTGAGAAAAAAAAAACAACTTTTGTTTTTTCCAGGCATATGATGGTTGCTGATACAAATGAGTGGAGATAAATGGTATTAAGGCAACCATGCTCCCTCACCTAGCTCCTCTCTTAATCAATAACAAGTACTTTGCAAAAGGTTGGACTAGATCTGTAACCAAGACAGAAATCTGGAAAAGAAAAATATTACTGGATGATGGGAAACCTTGACCTTGATGTCTTGAACATCACTTCCTTAACCTTTAGCTGACTAGTAGACTACAGAAAATAAATTATAATGTTTTTTATGGAACTACATTTCCCCAAAGATCAATTTTTGCATGGTAGTATTCTCATTCCAAATGCAAACATGAGAATGTCATTTTAAAGAATTACAGATAGAAAATATGATGTTCATAATTATAATATAAAGTTTATATTTATAGAATAAAACTTAATATTAAGAAAAGAATTATAAAGACTGATTAAAATATAATTACTTTGTTATCACATTCAAATATAGATATAATTTAAAAGATGATGAGTTGTAATAGTTTGTTCCTTTGATGGAAAAATGGCCATCCACTGAGTAATTCAATTTTTTTCTCTTGAAATGTGGGCTATGAAATTATTAGAACAACATTAACTTGACAGACTTAACATGGATACTTGATTGTGATAAACGAACTATTCAAATTCCTTAACTTTCAGTTCTTAAGCCACTTTAGCCAAGTATGAGTCACTTTTTTCTCTTCCAGAGGTGCAATAGCAAAAAGTAGCATAGAACATTTAGCCATCTTGTCCCTACAAATAACCAATTCACCTTTTCCCCCAGTATATTCTTAAGTATTGATTTTACCAAGTGAACTCAGACATGTGTCACACTTATCCAATACAGATCCTTTTTCTTGGAAATGTAGTTTGTACATCAATCAGTCACCTGGCCTTTCACCTCTAATTCCTATTGCCACTGTCTGTCAATTATTAAAGCCTTTCCCATTTCTCTAAATAAGGTCTTTTTTGAAACTCAAATACATAGTGACTCCTCTCAAAAATATATGTTTCTTGGAAAAGTATGCAATGTTCACATGATTAGATGTCTTCATTAAAATTACTTTTCTGAGTTGAAAACATTTAAAGTTTATAAATCCACTTTTCAAATGCCTCTAGGTATTTTCTTTTAAAGCATACTCCCTGAATGGTAATATTAGCACTTGTAAGCCAAACTCTGGTTTGAGAAAGACAACATTAAAAGAAATTCAAGCTGAGCGGCATTGTTAGAAGGGTCTTCAAATGGAGCAGAGTGTTTTCATCTCTGGCTGAACCCAGTGAGAGTTACAGAATGACACCCACCTTGAGCTGCAGGCCTCCTGGGATAAGAGTGTTTGCTGGAAGGCTTTTAATGTGTTGGTAGACATAAGAGGAGAATTGCTCCTGCTCAGCCCGTAATTGGGGGCCAAGTTTAGAGAGATGACCTCTGTTGCTTTTGATAGCTGTCTGCAATTCATCAATCAGCCTGCTCACCTGAAGGGGTTAAATTACAAGAGTTGTTAGCAAGAAGTAATTGTTGATGTCACACCTATTAGATTTTTGAGTACCTAGTTTGATGGGAGGGAAAATGACTTCAATATAAGAATTTGAGTATAGCGCTATCTTCAAGTAAAGAAAACAGAAGAGATATGCATTCCTTCATCAGCTAATTTTATTTATGGGAAAATTTATAATTTTTGCACTTCACTAATATGGAATAGATAGCCATTTACAAATGCTGAATAAAAATGTCTCTGGTTATGAGAAGAAACACGCACCTGACAAATTTGCAAAGGATTTCTAAACTGCTTAACAGAATAAAATCTTCCTAAGACTTCAATTAATCCAACATATGTACCACAGACAATATTTAATTTTATTATATGAACACCATGTTATGTAAATTTGTTTTCTCTAATAGATTGGATTCTTACACAAACATTAGTTGATATATGGTAGTCACCAAAAGAGATTAAAGCAGAAATTCACTTTACCTATGGCCCTTTAAAAATGATTAAATTAGACCCATTTAGAATTATGAATGACTTTGAATAGAACATGGGCTTTTGAAATATTGGGTTAAAAATCATGGCTCTTCCATTTACTGACTGAAAGACTGTGAACAGGTAATAAAATCCTTATCTGTAATGAAGAATAATAACAGCCTCATCATATTAAGAATTAAATAAGATTACAGAATGAATGACACATTGTCTAGCCTATAGTAATGTGTCTAATGTACATTATATTATTATAATATTTTCTTTTTTAAATCTAGGTATTTTCCACATATCAAGTATTAGTTGTTATTCTTGGTCTATCTTTGCTATTCCTATCCCTACTTCACATAAAGCAGATAAAAATTTGAAACTATTTGCTACCCAGATTCTCCATCTCACTTCAATGTCCATAGTAAAAAATGGGAAATCTTTCTCCAAGGGTCTCCCTTGTATAGACACTTCATCCTCTTTTTCTCTCTTTCAAATGAGAATATGGTATTTGTCCTAGTCTATACTCCAACTCTGTTAAATGCATGATTTCTATCCCTTCTACAGAGGATTCCAAGAAATCAATGAAAGCAAATTTGTACTATTATCTATATAACTTGAATATTAACTTTTCTACTCTACCTAGTTAGTTCAAGATTACATATGTATGTACACACACACACACGCACACACATACATATACGTACACATACAGTTTAATGACATTAACTTTCCCCAAGAACTTTAGAAGCATTATGTGCATATAAACAAGCTAATTTAAATGATTCTTATTTTTCTTTGGTCTTCCATATCTCTCTTATTTGTCCTTATGTCATTAATCATCTACTCCCTTATTTTTTTATTTCTTTTCTTTAAAAAAAAAAAATTAAGTGGGCTCCAACACCAGCATGGAGCCCAGCACAGGGCCTGAACTCACAACCCTGAGATCAAGACCTGAGCTGAAATCAAGAGTTGGATGCTTAACTGACTGAGCCACCCAGGCGCCTCTCAGCTAGTCGCTTTAAAAAAAAAAAAAATCCTACACTTTAAAAAGGACTGGCAAATCTTTTCTCGAAAAGGGACAGATAATATTTTCAGTTTTATAGGCCATAAGATTTCCACCAAAACTGTTTGCCCCTGTAGTTCTACACTGAAAGCAGCCACAGACCGCATGTAACAAGTGGGCAAGACTGTATTCCAATAACACTTTTTAGAAAAATAATCAATAGACTATATTTGGCCCTAAAACTGTAGTTTGCCAACCCTTCTTCCAAATTCATATATTTCTTCTCCTTCCTTCCTTTTCTTATAAGTAATACCCTGGTCCACGCCCTCATCTCCTCATCCTTTCCCCTTACTTGAATTACCACAACACCTACTGAGTGGTCTCTCTGTCCCTGGTCTCTCCACCTCAGATTCACCCTGCCACCTCCCCTGAATTAATCTACCTCCAACAGAACAGTGAATCCCCCAGTAGCTCCCCCAGCTTCCTCAGCTTGGCATTCAAGATTAAAAACCTTTTCTGTTTTCTGGAATGAATGTCTATGCTTCCCATAGTACTGTTAACTCTACGATAAAATTGTAACATTTAAAATACAGAAATAATAAGTGATCCAATGTTAAATTGGTCAATGTTTCCAGCCTAATCTTCACCATACTACCCTCCAGTATTATCCTCAAAAATGATGGATAATAACATCTGTCATACCAAAACTAGAGACCAAAACAGGCCAAGTGACTTGCTCTTATAGTTGTCTGACAAAATTTAAATGCAAGAACCAAAAGCTTTAGACTCCAGATGCCATTTCTGCAAAGCACTGATCCTCTCTGAACCTTTCCTCACCCCCAGCATCATATGATTTAAAAAGACATAATTCTATGTTAGTCTTTAAAATACACTAAACATCATGCAATGCATTATGCTTGTCAGTAATACTGTTCTCTGCAATTTTACGTACTGTACTTTATACTATAGTGAGCATACTATAGTGAGCCACCAAAAAAAAAAAAAAAAAAAGAGGAATTTCAGGCTTTGATTTGAGAACATTTTTATACATGACTGGTTTTACTGTCACAATCCATAGCTTTTCACAGATAGGGGATTTCATGTGACATCAGAAATCAACCAACCATACAATTGATGATGTCATTTGCATTCTAAAGGGCTATTGGTTAAAGCCTTAAAAGTTTCATTTCCTATGAATCCTTTGTTGCTTCAAAAAATTTCTCTATCATTTTTGCTATTTTCAATTGTCCCATGATTATCTGTTAATGTATGTGAAGTACAATTACATCAATTATCACCTGTCTTTTTAAAAAAGATAAGTTAAAACTATCAAAAAAGGTGTTCTAGCAAAAATTAACATATCTCAAAATAGGAAAAAATATATCAAGAATCCTGCCATTGACATCTTGGTAAAATTTCCATCCAATCTTACTAAAACTTTATGTTACTTTACATATTCATAAGGTCTTTTATCCCCAAAGTGCTACATTTTGTTCTCAGTTATTATAACAGACTACCCTTAAAGATAACCCTACACATGAAGTAACTCGTATACCAAAATTGGGTAGGTAATACAATAACCCTGAATTATTTTACATAATATGATTTTTTTTTTTCAAATCACAGATGTTGCCAGAAGGGGAAAAATGCTCTTTAAAATTCTTCATCATGAATCTTTTTTTCCTGCAAATCCTTTTTTTTCCTCTCTCTCTACAAAGGCAATGTGAATAGGGGTAAAAGAAGACAAAACTTGACCTTTTGTGATCCCAGCATTAATGGGTCTGTTCATAATTCAATCTATGTGTGTGTGGGAGCATCCATGTGGAAACATAGAGGCCTGAGAGACATAAAGCCTTTCCCTTTAAACATTATCTGACCCTATCAGTCCCATTCACAAAAGAAGGCTTACGTATGCATATGTTGAAAAAATGCACCATCTCATTGTGCAGCAGAAAGCCTACACATTCTACTCTTCATTCTCTGTGGAAATGCAGCACGGAAGTGACACTTGTACAGAATTTGGGAGAGTGACAAATGAGCAGAAGGTAGCAAAAAAAAAATAAGTATTCGATGAGGAAAAAGACCAAACTTCTGAAAGAATGCAAATGCACACCTGTCTATAAACATAGAGGCTTTTTGCTTAAAAACACACATGGGGAGTTTAGTCATGTTTTTATAACACGTTAATGTAACCCTTGAATTTATTCAACTCTCAAGATGATTTAGATTTATCATAAAATATCATTCTGTTTCTAATGATTCTAAAATTTATGCACATTGAAGTTGTATGTTCTGAATTACACATTCTGTATATTGTACTTTGGCTATTAGGAATGATGCTTTGAGGAGTTCCTGGTTTTTCCAATGATGAGCTCAGCTCTTCCTTGATTTCTATGTGGCCTTGAGTCTATCTACTATTAGTAAGGAGGACTCCAGAGAACTTTGCACTAAATTATTGCTTGAAATCAGCACAAAAGGCGACAGCCTCTATCCTGGGAATGTCATCTTGGCGTGCAACACACAGGGAATGGTCTCAAAGCTAGGTCTGTGCTTAAACTTAAGACCAAGAAACTTTCTAATTTATGACATAATTAAGAACCAGAAAAGGGTTAGGGAGATGAAAATGAGTATTTTAAGTTTCCTAAAATTTCTTCTTTCTTTCAGGCCCAAGGGTACAGCATTTTTTAGGTTGAAGAGAAATGTAACGCAGATTTGATGAACAAAGATTAGAAAAGATATGAGAACCTATGAGCAAAGTTAAGTATCTCTTGATTTAGAAAGATGGGCTGTAATGTAACTACCAGAGAACTTGAAGTGTGTACCACCTCTTACTCATACCACTTCAAATATTCCCAACTTTTTAATAGTTTCTAGAGCCCTTCTAAGATGGAAGATATCTCTGAAGGAGAGTTATCATGCTTCCAGCCAGAGGTCCATTATGTGTACCACCTTTAAGCCTATTCAAGAGTCTAACATTCATGGAGGAAGGGGTGATTAAAATAGAGAGTTTAAAAAAAATTTAATTCCGGTGTAGTTTATATATCGTGTTATATGAGTTTCAGTGTACAATAGTATAGTGATTCAACAGTTCCATATACTACTCTGTGCTCATCAACATAAGTTACTCTTAATCCCCTTCACCTAAAATATAAACATTTAAATGTCTTTATAATTCATCTGGCAATTGGGCTATGTGGATGGCAACAAAAATAATGTCAACTATACCTTTTGAGGAAGCAGTGAGAATGTGCTTCACAGTCTTCTAAACCAACCACAGGAACCATAGGTCCCAGCTACTATCTCTCAAATCCATCACCAGGTTTGCATCAATGGCTGAGGATGCTGAGGTAGGTCTAACTTAGGGAGTCACAGGACTCCTCCGAAGGACAACTTTAGGTGAAGGATACACTACCAGCTTCACTAAACCTTCCTTAGACTGCACTGCTGTCTAAGAGGCCTCCCTCCAGTCTTCCTTTCCTCTCTCCTTCACTCATGTTCAAGCCTGCATTTCAGTCTAACAGGTCTCCTGGCCTTACCCAGAGCTCTCTCCGTTTTCTCTCATAGGCAGTTCTTCTAATAAAATACATACACATTTAATACTGTCTTGGTATTTACTTTCCAGAGAACCTGGAATAACTTTTAAACTAACAATAGCAAATTATATGCACATTTCTATAAACCATTTCCAAAAAAGTAGTTTAACATATAACACACCTCAAAGTAGTCTTATGAAACATATATTATTATTATTCCCAGTTTTCATGTGGAAAAATTAAATGAAATAAAACAAGACCATGTCTATGGTCTTAAGATTAAAACACAGACAGCAGAATTCTGAATCTAAATCTCAGATTTTATGATGTTCAGTTTGGATTTTGAAATATATCTAGAAATACAATATTTTTGTAAAAAATAAACTCTAGACTAAATAAATTTTGAAGTAATTCTCTCCCTCCCAGATTTTTCATTTCTCTTCACATTCATGATTTCACATTTCTGTATATGAATTAGGCCCAAAACTTGATGTCACTTACTTTTTCCAACCAAAATATTGAAAATTACACATCAAGATTAATATAATCACTTTCAAAGTAATGACAGAGAAATTATTCCCAAACTGTATAGAATATATTTAAAGATCACTGCGCGCACGTGCGTGCGCACACACACACACACACACACACCACATATTCCCTTTATTGTGTATTTTATTTTTTAAGCAAACAAAAGGCATTTGAGTCATAACCAACCAAGCAAATACGTGACCAAATAAGGCACTGTATGAGAAACACTAATGTATCTGGGTATTAAATAAACATTAAGATGATGATAAAGAATAAATACCAAACAAGCACAGCTACTTTTGGATATTCTGGAAAAGATAATTTTCATTTCCAGTGTTGCTAACAAGGTGGCATTTAAAGTGATATATTTAGCATAATGATAATTTTTCTGGGCCACTTCAAGTTTTCAGTTCCACTGAAATTACAGTTTTGCATAAAATATCAAAGAGCAAAATAATTACAATATTTAAAAGGCAGAAAATATCAAATATATTCATTCTTTTAGATTATTCTAGATTTAATCTCTAATAATAATTTGTTATTATAGGCATACCTTTAATGATACTAATTAAACTAGAGATAATTATTTGCCTTTCTTAAAGTTTACCATATCAAGATACATAATAGATTCAATTTAAATTCCTGTGAAAATGTAATAAAACTCTCCAACTGTGATAAAAACATTTTCCAAATGAGCAGAGGACAATATTTTTTTTTTAAAGATTTTATTTATTTATTTGACAGACAGAGATCACAAGTAGGCAGAGAGGCAGGCAGAGAGAGAGGAAGGGAAGCAGGCTCCCTGCTGAGCAGAGAGCCCCATGCGGGACTCGATCCCAGGACCCTGAGATCATGACCTGAGCCGAAGGCAGCGGCTTAACCCACTGAGCCACCCAGGCGCCCGAGGACAATATTTTTTAATTTATAGCTGTAAATCCTGTCTTTTAACTTGTTAATATTAAGTGGAATGAGTGAGAACTGTAACTTAAATTTATACAATCATTATTTGCTACATCTTAGAGCTTATTCAATTGAATTTTTCTTATGAAATATTCACTACTGAGATTACCAATCTATGGTTATAATATTGTCTTTAAAATTGGACATATATAAGTCCCAAAGATTAATATAGTCTCTAATTTAAAGATTTGAATTTACTCAGGAAGATTTGAAGCATTATACCTGTTCATTTTCATATCATACAGTTAGCAGAACAGATGCAATCATAATGATAAGAAAATATTAGAGCCCCAAAGCTTCGATAGTTTTCCTTGCCAAAGTGTCAAAAGAGAATTACATGAAAGTTTAATTTTTAAATATTCACATTACCTTATTCTTTAAGTTGATCGTGATTTTATTTACTGACAATGGTACATGGGAATTAGCAAATTTATGATCTCCCTCAGAAAGAGTAAATGCTTTTGCATTCCAGGAACCTACATAAAAATCATTTTTTCCTTTTGTCTAACACCAATTTTGTATTATTATTTCATTTATGGAATATGCTGTCAACTTCACAGCATGAGCTTTGGAGAGAAGAAGCTTTGCTTTAATAGTTCATTACAATATTGCCTACAGAAGCTTATGATTAGCTTACTTAAGCTTGACATTTGTAAACTACAGTTTTTCTTTGATAAGAGATAACACTGTTGGCATTTCTAATATTCATAACAATAATGTTACTTCTAGAAGTCAGAAAATAAAAATAAGATTCAGTACTTATTCAAAGTTCAATAAGATTTTAATGTTTTTCCTATGTTAGCATATTTTATAATTTCCAGATTCAACTTGCATGTAATAATTTCCTAATTTAGGTAATTTGTGAGAAAGTTTTCAGAAATATTTTTCAGAAAATTACAATATTTATTCTTTCAAGCATATAATGATTTTTCAATCTGCCTATATCAATAAAATGATTCCAGTTTTGACCAATTGTTTTCATTTTGTTGCTATCAGAGAACTATAGTTGGTTTACTATCAGACCCAAGTAAAATATGTTTTAATTTTTAAATTAGCACTCGCTATAATTTTATAATACAGTTTAAAAAGTGAGTTTCTTTTTTTTTTTTTTAAAGATTTTATCTATTTATTTGACAGAGAGAGAGATTATAAGTAGGCAGAGAGGCAGGCAAAGAGAGGGGGGAAGCAGGCTCCCTGTTGAGCAAAGAGCCTGATGTGGGACCCGATCCCAGGACCCTGAGATCATGACCTGAGCTTAAGGCAGAAGCTTAACCCACTGACCCACCCAGACACTCCTGAAAAGTAAGTTTCTTACTTCTTCTTGTGCCTTATGGTGTTCCTTTGCTGTCATTGAAAGAATTGCTTTTTCAGTAATTTTTTCTTTCTGTTCATCTACAGCCAGGTTCAACTAGAAAAAAATAAATTGCATGAAAATAGGCACCTACTAATGCCTTACTACAACATTTCTTCAAACAACCAATTTAGCATACTCATGGAAGGTAATTTAAAATTAATTTGTCCCACATTTATATGAGAATGAACTCCATTTAGATAAAGCTGAAAATACATTTTTATATTTAAAATATTTAACACTGAATCATTCACATTCACTTCCATTCACTTTTATCATTTATAAGTTTATTAAAATATGATTTGGGAGAGGGTCCTTAATTGCAGACATTTGACACCAACAATTACTTTTTTAAAAGTAATTTTATCAAAATGAGCATAGCAATTTTTTTAAATTAGGCTGATATTTCCTATTAAAATTTTTCATTGCCAGTAGGGAATAAATTGGCTGCTGTTACATCAGGATAAAAATTCAAGAACATTAACCAAAAGCAAATGTCAATTTAAACACTCTAGAGCAGTTCAAAATGATTTATAATATTTCAAGACAAGAAATAATGCATCTTAAATACCTGAACAGTTACCTGCAACCTGATCCATTAAAGGTCTTCCACTACTTCTACTACTGTTGCTAACCCATATGTTATAAATAGATGAATGTCATCCATTCTGTGGTTTGTTTTTTTTTTAATAATCCCCATCAAAACAAAATGCTATTTTCAATGAAGGAAAAA